ACAGACTTCTCTCTCTGGGCAGCTATACTTTGGAGGAATAATCACAGATCCCTCCGTTTAACTATTGGTACTGCTATAATGATAACAGTGTCAGTGAAAACCATCACTAATATTAATTCATAGGTGTTACACCGATGAAGATATGTCGTGAATGAGACAAATCCCTGATATGATTTGGCGGGTCAGTGTAGAGGTGGTCAGCATGGATTACACTTCACTCTGGGGCTGTCAGCCCTGCATTGACAGGTTTTTTCAGTAGTGTGTGTTTTAGTGTATGGTATGGAGGAGCTACCTTTCTGGCAGAGTGTACATTTTGTTGCCTCTAAACTTGACCACCATATTTGCCTTTTGATGCTATCGGATAAATGGGTAATAACCCAGTAATTAAAAGTTGAGGAATTGCTTTCTTCAAGCCCACACTGTATGACAGTATCTCTGTATTCCCCTTCCATTTATCTATGCCTGTATTATGCTAATGTGGGCTGTTCAAAGATAGCTGCATGTTGTATGCTGAACACTGCAAATGTCACACCTAGCTGTTCCACTTCTCAGCTCTAAAAAAATATGAAGGCAAGAGGTCAGTGTTGTTCCAGAGCAGAAAAGGTGTAGGTGGTATGTTCCTTGGCCAGAAATTCAGATTAAACTTGCTGCTTTACCACGCATACTCACTTTATTAGGTACACCTATAGCTTAAAACTAATGCAGCCTGATATAACGGCACTGCAATAAATCCTTCACCGAGGTCATAATGTTCAGTTTTTGTTCAAACTGTTTCAGCAAGATGTTTCATTTTGGAGGCTGTAGTTTGTGATGCTATTGAATCATATTGTGTTATACTGAAGTGTCCCTACTATATATAAATGAAGATAAACTAAATGTTAGAAGCACCTCACAGTATTACACAACACATGTATGTAAGTAAGTCTTTATTGGATTAACCCTTTAATGGTCCCACACAGGACCTTCTTTTCTGAGTTTCTTTGGCTCCTGACAGCAAAACCTCTTTTTTTTAACTTTCATCTGACCACACAATTTTTCAAACATGAGCTTCTACCAAATGGTTGAGAAGTCTGTAAAAGTACACTTTTAACAGTTCCCTTTAAGTGAAATAAAACACACAACCTATTAATAATATAACATTTTACATACGGCATAAAGGGAAACATTTTTTAAAGATGAATACATTTTCTTAAAGTAAGGTCAGACATGTTTATCTGTGTTTCGGGGTTGAGTGATGGATCATATTTTTGTTGTATTCTTCAAATGATTGCTGACTTGTATTCAAACACAAGACAACTAAGGATTTCCTAAATGATACACTTCAATTTCCATGATTGTCCTCTAAAAGTAAACTTAAAAATCAAAGTAAAATTTTAAAAATATGAAAACTCAAAACAGGCCACATGCTAGGAGAGCTTTTTCTGCCAGTAACTTCCTGGAAAGAAGCCTTGATAAGGAAACTATAGTGCCTCCTTGATTTTTTTTAGCCTAACCCCCAACAGATATGCTCACTCAGGCTGAGCTAAATACAACTGAATTTTCTTTAACAAGATATCAGTACAGAAGACCATTAAAGGAAGTGAAACTGGGGACCATTGTATCTTTAATTTTAAACTGATAGAATGATATCAGTGAGACTGACAAAGAGTTTTCTTTAATTTTGCCATGTGTAATCTTCATCCTAGTAGTCTTTAAGCAGTTATGTTATTACTTTCCTTAAGTAAGAGTCTGATTGAACAATGGGGACTTACGTTAAGCTGCATCCAGCATACAGGGACTGAATAGGTAAAGACCATCCTGTTTCACAGTAGGGAGCTCTGGCTGCCAGATGTATTTGTCATGTCATACTGTGTGTTGCCAGGTATTTTCCTCCTCCCTTTAACTTTCCCATTCCACCACTGCCTAATCAGCTTTAATTGACTTTAATTAGCATCTAGTAATTAATTTTGTTTTCTACAAATTATTTGTATGAATGGTCCCAGTGGGTGGCCAGTTCATCTCGTTAGGGCCAATTAGCTGCAATTAACAAACACTAATGACATGCTTTTTTCCTTCCAAAACAAACAGTGCGCACCCTGCCAGATTCCAGTGCTGCACAGAGACCTCTTGTGTGTTGGAGTGGTTGCAGGGGGCCAGCTCACTGGGCAAGCCTTCTAATCAACACCTCTAATGAAGATACGGAAACCCAGAAGAGACGCGTATCCACCCAACTCGCCCTTAGGATACCATGAAGATGCTTGCTTTCCCCTCTGATCTTTTCATTGTCACCCACTGTCACATTTAGGCAAATGAGGTCAGGTTTGAGGGACAGAATGTCTGAAGCATTTACTCTTATTATTATTAGTGTTACATTTATTGACCTCCAT